ACTAGTTAGGATCCCATTCTTGTGGCTGTATATGATGAAGTGTTTCACTGGTCCTTTAGCTCTTTAAGCATATTTAAGACACTTGAATTGACATATTTGTTTAATAAGTCAAAGTCTAGACTAACTCAGGGACTTTATGGACCTCATTTTAATTATCTCTTTAAAGACCCTATATCTAAATACAGTAACATTCTGAGGTACTCACAGTTAGGTCTTCAACATGAATAGTTTGAGGGGATACAATTCAGCTCTTAGCATATATTATATTCAATAATAAATTATGAAAAAATGGAAGCAACAAAATAAGAATAGCAGATGTTTTACCTTTAAAAAAAAGGATTAACGCTTCCTATATATGAACTAACATGCACTTATAATGTTAATACAGTAGTTCCTCCTTATCCAGTTTCACTGGCTATCCAAGGTTTCAGTTACCCAGAGTCAACAAGAAGAATGTTGAAAATACTTTGAGAGAGAGACCATATTCACATACTTTTTACTATGATATATTGTTATAATTGTATCATTGCATTATGGATGTTAATGCCTATGCCTAATTTGTAAATTAAACTTTATTATAGATATGTATGTATAGGCAAAAATAGCATAGAAAAAGATAGTTTGGTATTATCCATGGTTTCAGGCATCCACTGGTGGTCTTAGAATGTACCCCCCATGGATAATGATGGACTACATTACTCTGACTCTACTTGACAACTGATCTTGAAAAGGTAGAAAATGCAGGTATTAAGCCAACACAAACTAAAATGTCAATATTAAAAAGTGGAAATAAACACTAACCTCTGGTACCAATTTCCGCATATTAAATAACAAAAACAAATACAAATGGTAAGAGAATTGGGAATCAGGTACATCAACAGTTTGGAAGGGTAGTTACAAATTTAGTCTACTCTTTATGGCAAACAATTTGCCAAAATGTTACCAAAAACATAGAAATTTTTTTTAACCTTTGTCCCAAAGAAGGAAAATATCCCAAGACAGTAAAATCCTTTTCTAGTTTTGTTTTCTTTTCTTTTAAAATACAGGGGTCTTGCTATGTTGCCCAACTAGCCCCAAACTCCTAGGACCAAATAATTCTCCTTCCTCAGCCCCTCAAGTAGCTGGGAATACAATCACGTGCTTCCTTGCCTTGCACCAAGAAAGTAAAACCTTTTGAGAAATAAAAAGAGCACTGTTGTATTACTGAAATGTTGGAGGGGGGGGCAGATTCAAGTGGCCAACATTGCAAATAAACAAACTAGAAATATGAAGAACCATTAAAGTAAGATTAGTTAAAAGGTATTGTTCAGTAACAAAGGTTAGATGTGTGTAAGTCTCTTCCTGTCACTCCCTTGATTAAAAATCCTTCAATGTCTCCTCACCTAGAGTATTTATAAGGCTTTTTATCAAACTCTGGTACCTGCTTTCTTTCCAGCCCCATTTCTCACTCATTCCCTCATTATCACTTGCTTAAATGCAGGACTATACTTTCCCCTCTATACACTACTTTGGTACAATTAATCTACATTCAAAATTCACACTAGGATCAATAAACTTTTAAATCACTAATTATTACCCTCCCCCTTGCCAAAATACTTGGTACTTCTGATATTTGTCATACCTTCTCATGTCTCCTGCTCAGAATACCTTGCCACACCTTCTTATAATAATGAACTCCAAACAAGTCTTCCTTCCAGATACAATTCAAACAGCTGTGTTTGAACCCTTTCAGCCAACGTTTGGACTTCCCTGAACTTCCAATTATTTTGAACAATCTAATGTAGCACTTCTCCTACAGTAATTATTAGTTTATATGCTGCTTTCCCCCACTCACTGTACCCTCTCTAAAGGCAGAAATTATTGTAAATAACTTGTGTCTTCAGAGTCTAGAATTATAATAATAATAGCTCGATGAATGAAGTGAAATGAATGATAAATAGTAAATAAGAGTTTCAAGAAAGTGGATGTTTTCTTATAGAGTTAGGTAAACAATTTTAAAGTAAATCGTTTAAAATGAAAATGAATGTTTTAAATATAGTAATATTTTCTTTCTTTTCAGGATGCTTTTTCTTCAGATTAGGGAGGAGTTTCTTCCCAACTATAATCACAACCACCTTGCCAAAGTCACAGAACAAAAATGCTGTGTTAGCGCCAACATTTAGCCACAGCTGTTCTTGAAATGAGGTCCTGACTTTCCCTTTCAAGACTGCTTATTCATAAACCTAACCCAGTTCTCAAGCTTTGCATGAGACATATAAACAAAAAGGCCAGCTAGTAAGATTAGCTAAGGAAGAACCTGATCCATTCTCTTAATGAGGTGAGATGCAGACACCATTAAGAAACACTACAAAGCTATGACTTTTGTACACAGACAGTTCACCACATAATAATTTTATAGAAGGAAAGACTAACTTCCTGCATGGGAGTAGAAAAGGAAAAAAGAAAACTCATAATGTTATAAATCAGGGCTTCTGAGACTTTAACAAAGTACACTTTTTCCGAGTCAGCATCCTTTTAATTCTAGCAGTAGCTGCTAAAAGGAGGGGAAATCCACACCGTGAGAAATTAAAACAGGCCTGAGGGTTTCAATATGAAACTTCCTCTCCCGTGGTAAAAAGGAAGCCTCTCATCTTCACTGTGACACAGTGAGTCACACTATATATAAAATAAAACAGATGACACTGATTCCATAACCAAAAAGATGGAAGTGGGAGGCCAGACAACATGTGAAAACCAAGGCTCTTGGGGGTTACATCAGCATTCAGGTGCTCGGGGACACAGAACTGGAATTTTTCAAGGCAAAAGAAATTAAAACTCTGGTCCAAAGGGGAATTAAGAACTATCTGTTGATTTCAACAGTCCCGACAAACTTTGGCTCCTTTCCCAGGATTGTGGGAAACTCCTGCAATATCCTCTCACCAGGTTTCTATTTCTCCTAAAAGCCCTGTTTAGTCATAAGTGTGCTGTCAGTGGGTTTTCTCTTTCCCTCTGCCCAATCAGAAGCGCACTTTGAGCTTGCATGATGATTCCCCCCCCCCAAAAAAAAAAAAAAAAAAAAGGCCTGGGAAGCAAGTGTCCGAGTAGACCTAAGTAGCGGGCATTGTAGTCTTCATTTCCACCCCAGTGGTTCCGCCACTCACCTGGGAAGCCCTCTCCTCCCGCTAGAGCATCCACCCTCCTGGGTAACAAGGCGCGGCCTGGCCTCGAACGACTCCTCACTGACCCCAACTCCCACTTTCTAAGGTCCAACAGGTCCGGTTCCAGCTCTGGGGTCTGGGAGCCTCGCCTGGAGGCCTCCGCCCGGTGGGCGACCCAACCCTTCTGGGGCCTTCATTCCCGCAGGCCTCACCCAAGCCTACTGTGGAAGCTCCCAAAGGGCCTCTGTGAGCCCCCTGCCTCCTTCCCCCTCCCCAGGAAACGCGGCCTCCCCTTGGGGAGGCTACAGGACAGTGGCCAGGGGACAGAGGAGAGATCCCGAGGGCACACACACTACCTCTCCTCCCCAAAGCGATTCTCTTCCCCCTGTGAGGATCAGAGCAGCAGCGGACAACCAGCAGCAACACCAGCGGCGGGCGACAAAAGAGTGAGCGTTGGGAGCTCCAGCCGTAACCTCCTCTCGGAAGAAGGTTCTGGAATCACAGCTGGTTGGGCATGCGCAGTGCGCACGCCACGGGCCTCGAGGAGGTCACGGGGCCAGAGCGGTGCCTGGATGCAGCTGCAGAGCCCCTTCACTCACTAATAGAGCATTTGCTGGATACTTACTGTGCCAGACTTCCAGAACTTTCTTCTGGGACGAATGCTCTTTTTCTGCAGAGAGATTAACAAAATCAATATTTGTGCTTAAGCAAACTTATCTGTCTCCATCTTATAGTTAAGCTTCTTGGGTTTTGTCTTTGTGCCTCTTTGGGGATGGGAATGACAGTCTTTGCTTTCAAATGCTACCTTTGGGGCTTGGAGAAGTGGCTGCTGCGGCACTAAAGATCAGGAGAGAGTGAGGACAGCCAGAGTCAGAGGAAGCCTCAGGCCAAACCAGGGGCCTGGGCTTGTGCCCCAAATGAGCCACCCTACCTGAGAAACACTGTTTTGTGGTAATGGAACCTCTGATCTTTAGCAGGTCAACCAGAATGAAGATGACATTTCTTAACTTCCCCTGCAGCTAGGTGTGGCCATGTGAATAAGTTTTGTTGCCAGGGCTGTGATGGAAAATGATAGCTGCAACTTTGAAGATGAGTTTCAAAAGGAATAAGATGCCCTTTTTCGGCCTTTCTGCTATTTTGTACTTGGAAATCAGACATGGTAGCAGGCCATCTTTGCCTTGTAGATGAGGGCAGTGACCTAGAATGGTGGCAAAGCAATAAGATAGAGGGAGCTTGGACAACCTCAGGGAAAAGAGCCTCCATACAAGCGTTGGTCCACCTACCTGTGTCAAGGAGAAATAAGCCTCTATCTTGGCCACTGTTAATTTGGGTCTCTTACATGTATCTGAACCATAATGTTAACTGATCTATCAATTTTAAAAATAATAGGCTATGGCATCAATGACACAAAATGAAATTACCACCAGTAGAAAATAACGTGGCCCTTGAAGAAATTAAGGTGCTTAAAGTTGCTGGATGGACAATATGAGAAAGATAATGTAGCCATGTATTATACAGAAGGCTAGGCCGTAAGTAATAAGGGAATCACTTAAGTGAACTGTAATATTTCCCATCTGGAAACCATATCTCCAACTCTTACTGTATGACATTAGTATTTTCATCGCATAACCTGTTCTTCTCCCAGGTGAACAGCTGTGAGTTTGCTAAAGGCTGCAAGTGCTGTTGGTTTCACATCACTTTCTAAAAACTACCCATTTATGTGAAATGGAAATAAAACAAGCAGAAATTCCCTTGGATCAGAGATTAGGATTTCCCCCAGCACAATCAATTTGTGGTTGGTTTAGCTTGATCTAAGGACAACATCCAATCAGAGTTTAGGAGGAAAATTGATCTCCTAAATAAATATGGTTCCACAGAACATGTTCTCAAAAGAATTCCTCAGGTTCAAAATATATAGCAGTGACTTGGTAGAACTCCATTCCCTGACTATGAAGAAAAGCGGTATTCCTTTCCTCTTGGGCCTCATCTTCCTGGTTCTGTTTGGAGTTCAAGGTAAGGGATTATGAGTTATATTACATTAGTAGAGTCAGAGGTATGACTCACTATTAAGCCCTATGGGTTCATCAGATAAAGTTGAATATTCTGCATGCCCCAGAAAGTAATGTTGGTCACTCATAAAAACATCTTGGTGATGTGGTTGATTATCTGAAGATCATAACTTGGACCTGCCAAGTCAAACACAAGTCTTCTCAATTTAGGTATGTACATTCCTAGTTAAGTCTTAATAAATGTTTGAACATTTAATAACAAGAAGCCCTATCTCAGAGCCAAGAAATTTCTGCATATTTTGTTTCCATTTCACATAAATGGGTGGTTTATAATAAGGGATGTGAAACAGCAGCACTGGCAGCTGATAATGAGATGAGAGACTCTGTTTCCTATACTGTTTTCATGTTTTTTCCTGATATGGATTCTTGATAAATATGTCTGTGTTTAACCAATTGAGAATCGAGAAGTCAGAGAGATCGCCCCTAATCCATTTACTATTTTTGTTACCTTGGTTAATAACCTTACTGGAACTCAGTTTCCATATTTGTAAAATGGTATTTTGAAGTTAATGTGTGACACAGTAAGCACTGCATAGATATATGCTGAATGAGTGTCAAAACTTTCCCCAAATTTAAAGCACTATTGAAAATCAAGCAGTGGGGATCATAGAGGATGAGGTTGGAAGTGGTAATTATAGTTAAGTAAAGCTCTCTGTTCAAACCTGTATCAACTCCATTTCACTAAGGTCAGGGAATAAATGTATTTGGGAGTTCCTTAGGAAGTTGGAACCACATAATGCTAATGAATTATATGTCTGTGTGTCTTACCTATAATAGGCATTTATTAAATGTTGTGGGGGGCTGAATTTGTGGCTCAGCAGTAGAGTACTTGCCTAGTATGAGCAGGACCCTGGGTTCCATCCTCAGCACCACTTTTATATTTATAAAAATAAATATAAAAAATAAATTTATTTGAAAAAAAAATGTTGTGAAAGTGTCTACTCCTCTTAAAGTTGTAAGGTGATGTATTTAAAAGCAGCACCTTTGGACACAGTAAAACCTGAGCTGAAATCCTACTCGTACTCCTGCCCCCTGAAAGCTATTGTGATTGGTCTTTATTTAATCTAACTGAACCTTAACCTCTTTATCTACAAAGGGGAGAAGTACCTGCTTCAAAAGTTTGTGGTTATGATCTACCGACAGCAAGGGATAGAAATAATTATGATCAAATGCATGTATCATTTTGATGAATTGCCTCAATGGGAGAATTGACCTAACACGTGCATGTATTCCACTGTTTCTCTTTCTGATAGGAGCCCCAATAATGAGGAATGACCGTTGTTCCTGCATCAGTACTAGGCAGGGGAAAATCCACCCTAAAGCCTTAAAAGACATTAAACAATTTGCCCCAAGCCCTTCCTGTGAGAAAACTGAAATCATGTAAGTAAAAACTCATTCAATACACAGGTGCCACATTGGCAAGGACACTAAATTTAGTGTGACTATTATTACTTCACAAAATGAGGGCAGTGATCTAGAAATGATGGCAAATGGAGTGCTTACCCATGCAGACACTTAAAGTTCAGATAGTTACCCTTTCCATAAGTCTGTCTGCTGCTTTCTTTTTTTCTAAAAAAAAATTAAATTTCTGGTAGAGAGTGAGAACCAAGTATGATAGACTGTGAAGTAGCACGTCTTCAATGTAGAGAAGTTTGTTTTTCAAGAACAAAAATAAAATTTCATTTATTTGAGACTAATTAGGATTGTAACCTGGAAAACATATATTCAAGCAGTCCAGAAAATGGGCTCCTAGAAAATGCTTAAAGAAGACACTGACAATCTTCTTAAAGAAGACACTGACAATCACCTGTAATCCTACCAGCCAGTGATAAATACTATCATATACCTTCTGGGTACATGGTATTCCAAAGCTTCCTCATTTGCTTTGGGTATATGTGTTTATACACACACACACACACTATATATATATATATATATATATATATACTAATATTTTATGCATATAGATACACAAATAAAAATCAATAAAATCATGTACAACATACCATAGTTGCCCCTTATCTGCTGATTCACTTTACTCACAGTCAATCATGGTCTGAAAATATTAAGTTAAAATTTCCAAAAATAAATAGTTCATAAGTTTTAAATAATTTTTATGGTAGTATATAATTAAAATTATTTCATCATAGTATTATTTATTGTTAATCTCCTACTGTGCCTAATTTATGAATTAAACTTTATCATAGATAAGAATGTACAGGAAAAAACAGCATACATAGGATTCACTGCTATCTGAAGTTTCAGGCATTGGCAGAATATCTTGAAATATATCTTGAAATGAGATACATTTTAGTCTAAAAATCCTTTGAACAGCTTTTTGGTCCAAAACTCCACCAACTCCATTCCATTAAGGTCCACTTAAATTCCTAAGAAATTGGTCCACATCTCTTGAGCACCCTCAAATAGGAGTGTTTCAAGCCCATTTTATTTTTTTTAATTATTGTATTAGGTATGTTTGTGTACATTTGCTTTTATGATGCTTGTAACTTATTTTAATGCTCCTGCAAAGTCAGTGTGATATTTACTCATCCTAAAGATCCCTCATCTTTGGCTGACAGCATTTCAAAACACAGCAGTGGACCAAATAAAAATTCTTGCCTTTGTAGAGGTTGTTCTCCCATTGCTGTTCTTTAAAAAACCTAATTGTTATTAAACATAAATCTAATTGTTATTTTAATCCAATTATGTTATTGATCTAGGGTGCTCAGCAGGCATCTAATCAGAAAGGCCACACACCCAAAGCAGCTGCTCTGTGTGCTTTGGGAGCTCTTCAGGTAGCCCTTAAAGCTTTATACTATGGATTCCAGAAATTGGCTGGTCCTTGAAATCAGTGGTATTCTATGTACGTAAAGTGTTCCCTTCCCTTATGATCAAAGCATATGATCCAGGGAACTCTACATCCTCTCCCTTTCATAAGGGTGCTTAGGGTTAGGGTCAGGCCTGGAGTTGCCCTTGGATGATTTCAGTTGGCCTGGTGACTCTTAGTTATGCCTTCAGGGTGTTCTTGCTCTGCATAAAGAGAAAATTCTGTGGAAGATGTGGTTGAAGCATCAAGAGGAACAAAAATGGAATTTCACACAGTTTCCCAAATGATTATGACCTGCTTTTCTGCTACTAAGAATTTTGTCTAATAGACATTTACTTACATAAAAAGAAGTTGGTCCACATAGCACCCATGAGTATATGTATGTGTCTAACCTGTAACAGACATTTATTAAATATTGTGACACTGGTTTCCATCCTTTTGAATTGTCTTGAATTGATGGGAGACACTTAGGATAATATAATAAGATAGAGTTCCTACCTGTACAGTTCCTTTACTGAACAGTTTTGCAATATGATTTTCATTAACACTATAATTATGAACATTTTCTCATGTTTATGTCTGTAAATCTTCTATAATAATTTCATTTTTTCTTAATAATTCCTCCCCCTTTTATTTTATTTTTTGGTGCTGAGGATTGAACCCAGGGAGCATGCTTCTGTCATTGAACTATATGCCCCAGCCATAATAATGTCATTTTAATGGTCAAATTATATTATATAGAGGTGCCATAATTTATATAACCAATGCCTGCTGTTAGAAATATAGATTATTTCCAAATTTTGACTATTGCCAAATTCTTACTGTGACAGTATTGTCTTTAATTCTTCCTATCATTGCTAGGATAAATGATATGCATATTTTAAGTTCTTTCATACCTATATTAAGAATTATATATGAAATTTCTACTATTATTTTCAGATTGTACAGAGAGATTAATGAAATATCATGAAGTTATTCTTGGATGGGCTGCTATAATTTTTAAAATGCAACCAAATAATCTTGTCTTTAAATTTTTAAGTAATTTAAAGTAATTTCACTAAAAAATTCAGCAAAATTCATACCTATTTTTATTATTTCTACAAAAAAAATCAAATTATTTACAGAGAAAAAAGAAATCTCGTTGCTGTTTCTTTGGCAGTGCTACAATGAAGAACGGGAATGAAGAATGTCTAAACCCAGATTCAGGTTATGTGAAAAAACTGGTGAAGATGTGGAAAGAAAAGGTTGGTGAAAAGAAGAACAGTTTTCTATCTTTTAGAAATTGTGGAAAACAAAGAATTCTGTGTAGCTCAATGAAGGGTACAGTTTTCAACCTTTCATCCTTTTGAATTGTATTGAATTGATGGTAGACACGAAGGATGCCAAGGTAATAAGATATAGTCCCTTCCTTCTATAGCAAGAATTAATTAGTTGTGATGCAATGCATACATATAATATCAAGGTATATATAAGAATCTTGAGGGTTATAGAGAAAGTAGTAATTGATTTTACCAGGAAAGCGACAGGGAGAAATTATTAAGGAAGAGTTCATATATCAGGTGACATTGATTTGGAGCTTGAAGGGTAGGTAGCTCCCCAGGCGGCTAAGGACGGTGTGAACAAGAGTAAAATCAAGACAGAGCTTGCTGTGTTCAGGCAACCTCATGTAATAAGACTGAAGTTTATGTGGAGAGAGAAAGATGTTGAGGTGGAAGAGTCAGTGAGGACAAAGTGGGAAGAATTCTGCATGACATGCTCAGGAGTTGGGTTTGATGAAGGACACAGAATATGTGGCGGGGAGCATTAGTTCTGTGGTCTGACAGACTATTGACTGGCCACGTACTAGCTGTCCAACTGTTGTAGGGACAAACGAGGCAAGGCACCGAAGATAGCAGGAAACAGTTTTATTTGGCTGCAGCCAGGTTCAGAGGGTACAGCCTTTGCTGTAATCAATCAATCCCCTGAACCCCGAGTTCAGGGAGTTTCAGAGTTTTATACCCAGCATATAAGGGAGGGGCTCAGAAGTTCACAGTCTGCAGAAGTTTACATAAAAGCAGCTTTTTATTTCACTGTTCTGGGCAAGTTAACTCTTCAAGGATAACACCTGAGAAGAGGAGAACTTCTTCTCCCCTTTCTTTCTTCCCCCTGCCAGCTGTTACCGTGGAGCCCAATTGTAACTTATCTTAAAAATGTAGACTTCTCTGTGAAGCTCAGCTCAAGGCCAGAGGCCTTGTTTGCACATTTCTTCAAAGTACTATACTGGATACATTTGTGAAAAACTAGTAAGGGGGTGTCCAGCACCTAGAGTGCTGGTATCTTCTCGGCCAGTGGCCAAGTAAACAGGGTGACATGAAAATAGGAAGTTTATGTACAATGGACTCTTTTGCTGACAGTCCTAAAATCAGCCATGGTGAAGATGGCTTTTCTGTGGAGAAAGGGGGTGCCACTTCACAACTTTGGACAAGTCACCCTCTCTTAACCTCAACCCCCTCATGTATAAAAAGTGGATGATGATATTACCAACCTCAGAGGGTTTCAGTCAGGGCAGGTGGCTGGTAAGCAAAGTTGGTGTGAGGACATCAATAAGCCAGGAGAACAAACAAAAGAAGTGAGCAAATCAGAGAATCAAAAGAGGCCCCTTTGAGAGAAGGCAACTTTAAGACAGTTTTGAGAAAAAAGAAAAACCACAGTCAGGAGTTTGGATATAAGGAAGGGTAATTTGTAAAATTAAAAAATATTATCCTTTCCCCGCCCCTATCTGCAGGTCAGCCAAAAGAAAAAGCAAAAGAAAGGGGGAAAACAAAAAATGAAGACATTTTTAAAAGCTAAAAGACCCCAACGTCCTCATCAAAAGAAGACTACATAAGAGACCACTTTACCCTCAAGTACTTTATGTTAAAATTTTTTTTTAATTATACTGAAATAATTCCAAGAAGGGATGACCTCTAATAAATCAGTTTGTTAGTTTGAATAGAAAATCTAAAGTACTCTTTTAAAAATGTAACTAAAGTTAGAAAGTTGATTTTGAAACCAAAATGTTAAGACTTGTTAGAGGCAATAGTTGTCTTTGTTCCTCTACCCTCAACCAACTGAATTTCATCATGTGTAAGGCTATGATCTCAGTAACACCCACATCTGGACAAATATCCACACAAATACATCCCACACATAACAGCTGCCTGGGCTTCCGTGGCCACAAACTACAGCCTCTAGAGAGTATTCTGAGGTATGTGTCAGCAAGCCCCAGACCTGTCCATGTGCCAGTGAGTCATGCAGTTTGGAATTGAGCTGGACTCGCCAAGCTGCCATGGCTGTTGGCATCTGCATTTGAACCAACCTGTAGGCCTTTCACACAATGTGTCTGCTGCTTCCTTCTGAGGATCCATCACTGGAGATCACCAGAGCTTAGCTTTCAGAAACTTCTCTCTGGCTTTTGAGGTCATGTGACTCTTGCCTGCCCAAATTGACCACACTATTTCTTGTCATTACCCTTCACTTTACTCAAGCCAATTCTTCACCATCTTGCCACAATTTAGTGCCTGTCTTCTCTCCACTACACAAGTTATGCACTCATTCATGAAATTCATTCACCTGGGTGTACTCCTTTCTCACTTTTCCCTCTATACTCCACAGGAATGCCTTCTTCTCCCTGCTTATCTCTACTTGATCCCAGTCTTCAAGGTTCAGTTCAAGTCCTGCCTCTTAAATAAAACCTTTCTGGAGAGTTGGGTGTATAGCTCAATGGTAGAGCAGTTGCCTAGCATATGTAACATCCTGGATTTGATCCCTAGCACTGCAAAAATAAGTAAGTGAATCTTTCAAAAATTTTTCTGGATGCTCAAATCATCATAAAACTACTATTTCATGAGTGTTTAGTACAATATGGAGGATCACTTAATTGTCATCTAATTAATTTCTGAATGTCTGTTTTCTCTCTCTAACCAGATTGTCAGTTCCTTGAGGGCAGAGTTACAGTTTAATTTCCTTGAGTCTGCCACCACATCTAAAAGACTGTGGAGCTGGGTTTTGAATAGTTTACTAATTGTATCTGTTATAGGTAGGAAGGCAGTCAGACCACCCTCTCAGAGAAAGCAGGATGTTTCCTGGCTACTCTACTGTGTCTAACCCTGGGTAACCTCTTTTAATCATTATCTTCTGGCCATTATCACTGCAGGAAAGAAGGATGAAGTAACATCCTTGTTTATTATATAACAGGATATTAACTTGGCTTCTCTAACAAATAAGAAGCACATGTTTCAAACATTTGTGACTATTCTGGACTATTATTCCAGAACATTCCAGATATATATGGCATCTAGAATCATGTAATCTTATAATGAAAAGCAGCTTTAGAGATCACGAATTGTGACTGAGGATGTAGCTCAGTGGTCAAGTGCTTGCCTAGTATGTACAAGGACTGGAGTTTGATCCCTAGCACTGAAAAACCAGAGAAAAGAAACACACACACAGAGATGTTAGCCAGTGCCCAACCTTTTGCCACCAATATGAAAATTCCTTCAATACCATTCCTGACAAGTTCCAACTTTCTGTAGTTTAAAAAGACAGCTACCAAGATACTTCTAAAAACTAATTGAAGGAAAAACAAATTTCATTGCCAGGTGACCTTGTTTTAGAATTTGCAAAGTTTTGTGATTTTCAATTATCACACCATCTTTCACAAAGAAAAGGAATGATAAGACACTAAGAGCCAACGGGAAGAGTGAATTCTGCTAGTGGAGGCATGTTTGGTATCTAGTTAGCCTCTTCGAGGCTGGGAAATTTCTTCTGAGAGCATGTTCAGGAATTGAATAGGAGAGAATGTCATTGGCCACAATGTAAGCCTAAACTCACCTTCCCAAATACTGTCACTCCTCATGCTGCTCGTGATTTTGAGTGCTGCCCAGTGGTGATCCCATCTAAACAACTTTACCTAATCATGAAACTCTGTAGGTCCTTTCATATAATTTCTCTGAAAAAATATAAAAATGTTCCATATTTTGAGTCTGTGGCCCGGTTACCTTGCACCTCACAGGTAAAGTGGACAGTGTATAACTGAAAACCAAAGACTACCTATTTTCAATAAATATTTGTGATACACATATAGTCCCATATTCTAATCATTCATCATTTATACATGCATATATACTAAGTAAATAATGTTTAAATTCAAACTAGTATGACATAAAATACTTTGTACTTTGAAGCATTTTCTTTCTTAAAAGACAATAGGATCAATAAATAGATCATTGATTGGAAAGTAAATCTTGGTTTTCTTTTTCATGTCTCAAACATGCCCTTTAACAAGTTCATGCTTAACAGTAATTCTGATGTGTCCTTATTCATTTACTTTTTGTTTTTCATCTAATGACATGCAATATTAATTAAAATAGACATGAACCCAGGTGTTGTGGCACACTCCTGTAACCCCCATGATTCAGGAGGCTGAGGCAGGAAGATTGCAAGTTCAAGAACAACCTGGGCAATTTAGTGAGACTGACTCAAAATAAACAATAAGGGGCTGGGATTGTAGCTCAGTGGTAGAGTGTTAGCCTTGCATATGTGGGGCATTGAGTTTGATCCTCAGTACCACATAAATAAATAAAAGAAAGATATTGTGCCCATCTATAACTAATAAATAAATAAATAAAAGGATGAGAATGGAGCTCAGTGGTAGAGCACCCTGGGTTCAATCCCCAATAACAACAACAACAACAAAAAGATAAAGACACAAAATCTCTCTAAAAGGAGCTCTTTGGGGCTAGAAAAAAAAAACTTCCAAGGAAAATATGACAACATGGCCTTATGACATTGTTGACTTGTAATTTTATATGGAATTCAGTTTATTTCCTAATCCTCAGGGGTAACACTATTCCAATGAGATTTAAACCCAGGAAACCAAAAGTGTCTTCACCTTTTTCTATCTCCTGAAATTATACATGTTCAAATATTGTAAGGCCTCAAGTAGGTATGGAGGAAATCTAAACACCAGGTAAGTTATTTAAGAAGTTAGTGCTATAGTTAAGTATTCCCCAAAGGCCCATGTGTTAAAAGTTGCTCACCAGTTAGGTGAGGCCTGCTAGGAGGAAGTTAGGACCTTAGTTCCTTCCTTCCTTCCTTCCTTCCTTCCTCTCCTCCTCCTCCTCCTCCTCCTCCTCCTCCTCCTCCTCCTCCCCCAACCCTCACTTCCCAGCTTCCATGAGGAAAACAGGCCTCTACTACTACATGCCCCTGCCATGATGAACCATGACACCAAGGCCCAAAGTAATGGAATGAAAATTCTGAAGCCATAAGCCAAAATAAACCTTTCCTTTTTTAAGTTGGTTGTCTCAGATATTTTGTCACAGTAACAAAAGGCTGGCTAACAGCTAGGAAACCCAGGCTGGAGATATTATGCAGTACAGAGTCTCTTAGACAGACCTGTATATTTGAGGTACTTTTGAGGAGCCAGGTATCACATAACTAATGGTGAACATGAATTCTCATAATTAACCTGAGAGGCAGCAGGATGCTATGAAAAGAGCAAAGATTCTAAGGTATTGGGGTTAGGATCACAGGCCTATTACTGTGTAACTGTGTTATCTTGGTTAGGTACATTCCAACTTCCTGTGCATTGGTTTCCTCATTCAGGACTACTGTGAGGAGAAGGCTCAGCATAGATCTTGGTGCATAGAAAGTAGTGGACCCTCTCTGACCACTTACTTTTGCCACACATAACTCTCAACGTGTCTCACATCTCATATTACAGAGAAATGTTTCCAGGTCTAAAAAAGTATGTTGGAGAAATGAAAACAAAGACCTTCCTGACCAATTCTCTGTATCAACACTTTTTTTTCTCTCCCTTTTTTAGAAATATGGGAGTTGAACCCAGGTCTCATATGTTAGGCAAGTGCTATACCTCTGAGCTACATCCCCAGCACTTTTTAAAATTTTATTTTGAGATAGAGTCATGTAAAGCTGCTAAAGCTGGCCTCCAACGTGAGTTTTTCCTGCCTCATTCTCTGAAGTAGCCACGGTGCCTGGTTTGTATTTTCATTTTCATAATCCTAGTCCAGACCATGATTATCTTTTTCCTATTATTCCTGATGCCTCTTTTTCTCAAATTTTCTCTTGCTTCCCCACCATCCATGACAGACAGGATGAACCTTTTAAAGAATACTTCAGAATCCCACCACCTTGCTTAAAATTCTGCAAGTTAGAATTAAGTCAAAACTGGTAGCCTGGCTGCCAGGTGCCCTATCACATCAGGGCTCTGCCTTCTTCTCCATTTTCTCCCTAGCTTATGGAACTTCAGTGTCACCTCTTTTCCATCTCTCAGGCACTCTGAATCCATTTCCTTCTTGAGCCCTTTGTATATGCTGTTCCCTGTTGTGCTGGGTTGTTCCCTGCTATGTGAACTTGGTTGGGCTGGGAACTACATTTCCTAGATCCCTTTCTCCATGTGGTTCTAAGTTAGAGTTAGGCAATGAGGAACTTATGTGAAATTTGGGAAGCAGAAATAAATGAGTGATAAGACTTATTGACAGACACAGTGGTATCCAGTAGGTCTCAGCTTATCTTCTTCCCTTCTTTTGTGTTTGGCTCTCCTTCACAACTGCTGACTAGTGATCAATAAAGCTTCCAGGCCCTCCACCAGTTATTGGCAATAGACCCACAGAAGTAGGTAGTAGTTATACAGAAGCAGCAGCTTCTATTAGACCATAGCATTCCCCATGTGGCAGCTGGGCAGAATCTGCTTTTTGGATTTTCTCACAAACTTATTATCCAACTGTACAAGAGATTCTTATGGACCAGTCAGTGATCAGTCAGTCTTTCTCCAATACCCTGGTTCTCCATTTCAGACTTTCAATTCCTAACACCCTCCCTCCTCTGTGTAAGATCTTATTCCTATAGAACATCCTTTGTTCCTGTAACATCCATAGTGACTCTACTCCTAAACCATACAAGTGCCTGAAGCATTCTTCTTTTCATGGCTGTACCCACCTCATCATTTAATTTTCACTTTAAATGGCACTTCATAGAGTCTCCCTGAATCTTAACATCCTCAGTAAAACAGCCATCCTCTCCCCAGACCCTTTCTATTGTACTGGTTTCTGAAGTGGGGTATGTGCTCTTGGGGAGAGGATAAAATGAAAATATTTAGAACTTGCATTTTTGCCTAAAAATAAAAACTGAATTTATAAACCTGAGCCCAGGTATCACAGCTTCACTCAGTGCACTTAGGTGGTCATGTGTCATGTGCTAGATTCCTGAGACAAAAGTGAGACCTCCACAACTGGGAGGACACATGCCCTCACTCAGCTCTTCACTTCTGCATAATGTCCACTTATGTGTATACAATTAAGTGGACATAAGGGTTATAAGAGTGCTAACTACGCTATCTTCATGTATTATAAGATAGAATGCTATCTTATGATATATGTGATTTCCTTCACGAAATGGGCACACAGTTTAAAAAAAAATTTCCTGATGGGTGCAATGGCACAAACCTGTAATTCCAGCAAATAAGAGGTTGAGGCAGGAGAACTACAAGTTTGAGACCAGGCTGGGTAACTTAGTGAGACCATGTCTCAAAATAAAAAATAAAAAGGGCTGGAGATGTCGCTCAGTGGTAAAGTGTCCCTAGGTACAACCCCAGCGACAAATAAGTAAATAAAGCCTGCTAAGAGATTCATATGAAAAATAACAGTAACAATGCAAAATAAACTAACAAAAGAATAAAATGCACATAGAGGGGATACTCATTTTAATTTTACCTATAAGAGTACATAATTTCAAAAGTCTGATGGCTATAATCTGTCTCGTTTTCTTTTATCACAATCAATACGTTTTTAATCACAATTAGACGTAGTAATCAAATATCATCAAAAGTGGAAATTATCTTTTTAAAAAATTGCATGGTCAGTTCTTATTCCCCACACTACTATACAGGCAAATTTAAATTCCCTGACTGCAAAAATTGTCCTCTTCACTGCTTTGTTTTTAGTACTTATATCAGTCCCTAGCACTTAGGAAGCACTTCATATGTTCTTTTTGCTTGATTGGCATATCTTTCACCCTAAACTTTCTTCTGGGACTTTTCCAAATCAATTTCAACTACTCTCATTACAGTCATCTAAGCTTATGTTCATTTCTACCTTCAGCTTTTCTCATTTTCTTTTATTTTCTGATTTTCTTCCCACCTCATCTATGTGACACCTGCCCGTACAAGATTAAAGTCCCACTTTTCCAAGTCTGTCCTAGAATGCTCCTATGTCACGTTGAAATTTGTCTGCCTTGTCCTAAAGACTTAAGAATAGCTCTTTGATTAAAACATTTAAATTGTTTTTCTATACCAAGAAGTGATTTGAACCATAAAAGAGTTTAAACATTAGAAGAATTGTTAAAGAATTCAGATTTAATCTGTACACTATAGTGTTGAATTACATACTAGTAATCTCCCTAGCAAATGGAGACAGGCTTAGGAGATGACAAGGATTGAAAAAGCATATGGAACTTGAATTGAAATCATCATGATCATCATCATCATCATAACTAGATTTATATTTTAAGACAGACTGACTCATGAACTAATTTAGAATTGCCAAAATTTGAAAAGGCTACCTTTCTGGCTTTAGTTTATTTTGATAACAGAATTTGGAGAAAATTATTTGTCCCTGTGATGGGGATTGAACTCAGGACCCAAATTGTGCCAAACAGTTCTCGACCATTGAGCTACACTCTCAACCCAGCAAGAGGGCTTTTGACCCTATATTTTAAGGACCTGAGTAAATCACAAAAGAACTGTCTCATCTAATTCTAAAAAAAGTTTATGGACAGGGGCAATTGATAAAAGATTAAAGGGTAAAGTTTCAAGTTATACATAACTATTTGCTTTTTTATAAAGTTTTCTACATATAAGCCAGGCATAGTTGTGCACTCCTATAATCCCAGTGACTCAGGAGGCTGAGGCAGGAGAATCACAAGTTTGAGGGCAGCCTCAGCAACTTAATGAGGCCCTAAGCAACTTACAGAGATCCTGTCTCAAAATAAAAAATAAATAGGGCTGGGGATGTGGCTCAGAGGTACAATGTCCTGGGGTTCAATCACTGGTACAAAAAAAAAAGTTTTCTATGTACTCATAAAGAAATCATGACCCTTAAATAGAGTACACTGTTTCAAGTTGACTGTTTTAATAAAAAATTTTTGCTTAAAAAGGCAGTGGGGGGTGGGGTGGGGATAATTGCTGGAATCACCATTTCCCGGTACCAGGTCTCCACCTTGGC